GGAGATAGAGCTCATTGGGCACGTACAAAGCGGGATCAAAATGGGGCTCTATCTAGGGCTGGTGGCATGGCTTTTCTGCATCTCTCCATTATCGGCTTGATCAGCACCTTATCATCTATATGCAAACCCCCAAATCCACTATCTGTGATGGCGAATGATCATGACGTATGTAACCACCGCCGTCCCTGTTTTCGGAATAGGAAGTGTGAATCATCAGTATCAGTGTCACAGTACCTCTGACCCAGAATGCGGAATATCTTGTTCGGCCCGACTATTCATCAGCACATTAAGGATACACTGAAGAGAGTTGCCATTTTCTTAACCACCTTGTCATTCCAGAAGCCCTTTCCATGGAATCTACTCCCACAGGAGTTGCGGGTGAAAATTCTAGGGTATCTAGACCCTAATGTTCTTCGCAACTTCCATCTGGCGAGTCGGACGTGTGACTTCATAAGACGCAATCGGCAGAAGCGCAGAAGATGGCTGGACAAGTTGGCTATACGATTCGTCAGTTACCATCGCAATTCTCTTTTTACATCACGTAGTTCTTTTGAGGGTTTCAGCGGTAACATGAAAGATTTTGTATTGCAGATTTCCGATGTCACATGGAGGGTGGATGTGCACTGTTGCGATGAGAGAATAGTTGAGTCTCTGGTTAGTTGAGGATTACGGTCCGTATTTCCACGGAAACATCTGTAGCTTCATGTGTCGGTAGGAGCCACACTGCAACGACAGTTCGTCAAGTCATGTTCTAACTCGACAGAACCACATCCCACTGCTCAAATATGATGGCGTAGGGGAAGGGTGACAAGTTTTAAGGCTGATTAACTGTTTAAAACCCCCTTAAAACTACTTTCTGATTCGTGTAGAACGAAGGCTTCTTTTACAAGCCTTCAACGGTCGCTAATCGCTTTTCACCCATTTTCCTACGGTAATACTGCTGGCTTTCAGACCGTGTACCAAATCCTCTTCTCATTTGTCTTCAATGTCAGATTGTAGTTTTAAATGGCAGGGGAAAATCAATCAAGCGAAATAGCCTGTGGTTTGCAGATTCATATTGGACAAAAATCTAACTGGAGCCCATTTTTGAGACGATCAACCTCTGATGGTTATGAATTTTTTTTCACCAGACTTTGGACCAGTACTCTCGAACTTTCCTTTGGATCAATTTGACATCCATCTCTTGAAGATCACTCAGGTTGGAAGATATTTGATTTGGATACTATTAGGTTTTGCTACCGCGCGGCTGCCACCGACATGCGACTCAGAGCCAATCATTGGACCGCAACGGTGTATTTAGTCGCGTTCGGCTTGGTCCTAACATCTGTCTCTTTTTTAGCTTTTGTAGTGGGGGAGCATAGCCAACGACATTGGTTGGGGTAGAGGAAATGATACGGCGTAGAAGTAGCTGGTACACTGCACTGTATTCGCCAAGAGCGTACCCCAGAAGGGTAGGGGTATAGAGGGGCATGAGTCAGAGAGACAAGGGAGATCCCGGTCGAGAGTGGAGGATCACTTGCGGTTCCCTTTTACTCGACAGGAAGTATGCCTCTGCAAAATGCTTCTTTCTATCACTGCAGCGGTTCAAGGATTAGCGGTGGTGCGTAGTTGGTAGCAGTCGCAAGGCTCCGAAACCAACCAGCCAGCCTTCTTTGTTAGGTTAGTTCTGACATCTATGGGCAAGGTTTCACTTGGAAATTTAAGATTTACAGATTGTAAATGAGGTCGAATAGCGTCTAACAAGGGAGGTCTTTCAGGTCGTGGCGCGCTTTTTAAAAATGGTTTGTTGCTTGTTGTAGGGGTCCATACAAGGATTACAAAAATGGGTTTCATTTTTGCTATGCGTTTCTGGGGAGGTCAAAAACTGAGTGAAAACAATTTGACAAGAAAGGGCGATTTTAACCGTCTTATTGGGCTCTGTTGTAGCTGTAACTTTGAGAGTGCATAGTTTATGAGGTGTTCCTTCACTATGTATCGAAAAGAGAGCAAAATAAAGTCAAAAAGAAAGTGCATGGAGAATACTGCTTTTTCGGATTTCTGTCTCCTTGTGTTCCTGCGTGCGTGGTGATGTATATAACATGGATATATGCCATTTAAGAGCTCATTCTGTACACTCAAACTTCACGAGTCGACCCTACTTAACTATTGCGCTCTCGAAACATTACTGAGGAAACTCTTGCTGAAAGTTGGGCTCCGGGGATGACTGGATACCCTACTCACGAGTACGACACTCATTTTTGACCACGGCGCAGCCTATCGCCGATTTGCTGCAAGAGCATTCTTGCACTGAATTGTTGTCAACCCGCACGCATGGGCTGTTAAGCGCTCAGCTCGAGGAGAAAATTTTCGCTGAAAGTCTGTATATAGAGGTTATTGACGGCCCTGATCACGGTTCTGACCTTTATAACTGGCGCCTAGGTCATTTGGCGCCAACATGGCTCTGAATACCCCCCCCTAACTGCGGGTTGGGATGCTGCGAGAATCACTTGAGAAACTATTAGGTTGTCGCATAAGTTCTTATACACGTGTTTGATCCTCTCCTATTTCGTTCGCATGGATGTTGGTATTACGTCATCACGTGTGCGTGACGTGTACATTATACTCTTTCATTACACTAGCTATCAGCTAGCGAGCTTGCATTTGCACGTAGCTACCCATGTCGGCACACATTTGCAGCTGTGACTGAAAACGTACGCTGCGCCAACTGTTGGTTTTGCTTCCACCGATTTCGCTGGAAATGAAAGGAAGCCCATACCAAGTCTGGTTGGATACATACTGGATGAGGATCGTCAACTCTTCTTACCATGACATCAAGAATGTTCGCCAAATTCCAAGAAAGGAGACCTTCTCGTCGAAGAATGCTCGCCAGGTCGGTCGCCGATGGAGTTGGATTTGGAAGTACTACGTTCCACCGTGGAGGAGGACCCGTACCTCACCACCAGAGAAATGGCGACCATGCTTAGCTATGATCATTCGACGGTTGCACGTGGACTAGAAAAGCTCGGCAAGGTAGCAAAGCTTGGTCGATGGGTCCCACATGAACTGTCCGCTTATGACCTCTCGAGGAGGGTGACCACCTGCACTTCTCTCCTCACTTTCCAAAAGAGGCTTCACTTTCTCAACTCGATGATCACTGGAGATGAGAAGTGGGTCCTCTACGATAACCCTGTGAGGAAGCGGCAGTGGGTCGACAAAGGAGAACAGCCAGAAGCCACCCCAAAGGCCGACCTTCACCCCAAAAAGGTTCTCCTGTCCTGTTGGTGGTCCAGAAGAGGCATGGAGTACTGGGAGCTGCTGGAGAAGGGACAGACGATTGACGCTTCCACATACGTGACCCAGCTGCGGAAATTGAAAGATCACGTCGACCGTACTCGTGGAAGGAATGCGGAAATCTACTTCCACCATGACAACGCCCGACCTCACACTGCAAAGGCGACCCAGGCCGAGCTGGAGAAGTACGGATGGCTGATGGTCGCCCACCCTCCCTACAGCCCTGACCTCGCTCCTTCTGACTACTGGCTGTTCAGCCACCTGCAGCGCTATCTGGACGGAAAAAAGTTCGAAACAAAGGATCAGGTCAGAAAGGCGCTCGACGACTTCTTCAAGTCCCAGCCTCCGTCGTTCTGGAAGGATGGAATCGACAAGCTGCCTGAGCGCTGGCGTCGAGTAGTGAATGGTGATGGTGCATACCTCTAATCTCCAGGCTGGTTCGTTTTTGAGATATTTACAAAAAAGTCGTGTATAAGAACTTATGCGACAACCTAATAGCTTGATAGGGCCTCATAAGGATGCCTTCCTTGAAAAATGCGTACGCAGCGCCTGCTCAGGGTCGCGGAATCCCGTCCTGCCAGGCGTATTAATCCTACTCGTCTTAGGGATTTATCGTGCCAACTGCCTTCAAGCACTCAAGGTCGCCAAACTCGTAGAGAAATTTTACCTGGGCGCTCGGCACTAAATGGTTGCGATATACGCGCAAGGATAGTCAAACCACCTTGGAGAGCGACTTAAAGCCATATCGAGCTGCAAAAATTTGCTAAGGCTACTAAACGCGTTCCAAACCCTATCAATAATCTTCACGTCTCCATTCAAAGTCCGATGAAAAGTTGAATCAACTTCGGTGGGGAATCTGAGTGCCAAAGAATTCCTCTGAATTTTTCGAAATATCTGCAACTCACAATGTTTTGACGCTGGATTCACAGGCATAATTACGATACCAAGATCAATCGCAGCTAAGTAGGTGAGAAGAACTGAGATCGAATTTCCGCATACAGCAGCGATCACACTGCCCTAAAATGTGGCAAAGAGGTGGTAGGATAAAAGGATTACTTATGCACAACCAGGTGTGCCTTAAACCCTATTAATATACCCAGGTCTTAATTTAAAATGCCATTGGAAGTCGAATTGGTTCAGGTTCCCATGGGATTTTAGGATGGATTATAGTGTAGTTCGCTGCGGACGGAATGCGTGTCAGGCAGGATGACCTTTGGCGCGGTGCCAAACCCGTTCTCCACCAGTTAAAGCAAGCAAGTGATATGACTGTATCATATCGTTCGTATTACTCGTTTTCTACCACTTTTTGTCGCATGCGCGCTTCAACAAGAAGGCAGAGAACGGCTTTGACGCGTGACACACTCATACTGCCTGACACGCCCAACCGTCCGCAGCGAACTAGAGTATACTTAGGCAGCCAGTGCTCGGTCTGGAATGTAAATCGTGTTTGGTTTCAATCAGAAGTGTTGGATGCATTTTCAAGAATCGCGAGGTTGGTTGGTTTGCAAGATGTTCTCGATTCCCCCCATCCCCTCCCCACCTCAATGACTCAGATGACACTCCAGTTCTAATCATACTTCCTGTCACCTAGTTAGTTCCAGAGGTCCCGGAGGGCCTCTGAAGCTAAGCTCGACTTGGCAGGAGCACTAAATGACGTTCATTGTAAGCTTGACAGGCCACGTGCGAGGATCGGTCAATTTCTCGTCATCAAAGGAGCTTTAGAGAATCATGGTTTCCACTTGCTTGGAGCTCTGTTGTACTGGCCACAAGTCTTCAGCTGATAGGGCACAATTCAGCAAAAGAAAACCAAGGAAAATGAAAGGGAAGGCAAATTAGTTAAAGAACATTACTTAAAAGTCCTCACTAAGCTTCTAGGGAATGGCTAGACTTTGCTTACCTTACTGATTCCAACAAGTTGTAGGCGAACCTGTTCCACAGCGGAGTGTAATTCCGAAAACGTGAGCTTCTCCCCCGTATATGGATCTATCTGTAAAAAAGTTTAGCTAAGGAAGGACACTGCCAGTAACTAGAGACACTTCGTTAAGCCAAAAGCGGATTTCGCGCTGATATATGGCGGAGTAATCTGACTCAACGACCGCTACTGGGGTCCGTTTTCACTGGTGGATAGCTTTATTTGATATAGTGAAGAAATAGGAAAGCTTCCAAGAGAAAAGTACGAGTAGTTCGGCCATCCTGGCAATCGGCGTAGAGTGCGCTCTGATGTTTGGCTCATACAACTAATCTAAATATCCAGAAGGATGACATAGGGATAACCCAAGCAATGTGGGATCCATTGAGTAATTGACGAGTTTTCTCGGTAGCCAGATGAGAAGCGCGCCCGCTAATGTGGCACTCCATCACTCTCACGATGTGTGGGGCTAGGTTCGCCTAAGTAACTCTTGAGCGGGAGAAACTGTAGATGTTCGCTTGGTTCAGCCTACCAAGTGGCAGCTCTTCTCTCCATATGTCGAAGTGTAGTCGAGAAATGCTCGAGTGAAAGAGGTATGCTTCGAAGGGAAAGTTCCCTGTAGGGGCAGGTCCGACGTGATGGACATGTCCGACGAATTATGCTGAAGACAATAAGATAAATAAAAAGACTTGAGTTTTAAGAAATTCTCTGTATTTGTTCTAAAGTTGAAAATTACTTCAAAGTCATTCAGTACTTTAATTTATTTAATCATTTTTGCTAAATTAATTAAGTTAATTAATTAAGGGGGTCAATCCAAAGAAGTAGTTCAGTCAGTTTCCGTTTCGCACGTGCCCTTAGATGTGAACTCATATAGCCCGCACCGCAAAAGATAAAGCCTATCCCCAAGCTCGAGAGCCGCATCCTCCCTAGATCACCTTCAATCAAAGGTTATGTAGCGAAGTAAATAAATGAGAATTCTAGAGCAGCGCACAAGATGGGTGTAGCTATCTTTCGGAAGCAAAATGTCGCGAATTTCTCTATCAAAATTGATTTTCAAATTTCTCCAAAATCAATAGTATCTTTCTATAAAATGAACAGAGATGATATGCACGTAGCCAACGGTGTACTATTTCAAGAAATGAGGCGCAGCAATATGTCCATCGAATGAGGCAGTCGATTGTTGCTTATTATATGGAATGAGGCAATCAATCAGCAAGGGAACGCCTTCCCTTTCACGCTCTCTGAAAGGGTACGGTTCGACGTTCGCGGTGGAAAATCATGTTTCACGTGAAGAACTGCTGGCTCGCACTTGAATCCACACCCTATAGGGCTCTAGGCCGCATGGGGCCGACTAAAGGCTACTTTAATTGCGTCCTTCAGAAACTGTTTTTATATTAAGTTGGTGAGAGAGTGATGGACATCCTTCGAGATTAATCATGGGAAATGCATAAGAGCAAAATTAATTCTGCGGGGTCCTTGTCAGCATCCGGGACTTTATGGATGTCATTGCTCCCTGAAGCGGGCTGGCGGGACGCAAAGTAGAACATCATCTCGACTTTGACATGGTCTGCAGTGGTGAAGCTTTTGTTGCCCATGCAATGTGTTACTTCAGAAAACAACAACCAGCTGGAAGGAGCAATGTCTAGGCTATACCCCTGCAGGAGAGCCATCCAACGGTACTGCATGAATTTTGACTCATGACTTTTTGACTTGACCTTTTTCGTGAGGTGCGGTCTGGCGGTGTCCTGTTGACGGAACACTAAGCCGACGAATGTTTCACTTTGATGAACGACTGGCTTCTGATCTCTTGAGTTCTGATCTGATTGTGAAGCTACTCCACATCTCCTTTATTTTGATCTT